CAACCCTCAACGATGATGTTGATCACCTTGACCATTCTACTTCCACTAGTGCACTCCGAGGCATGGACGGATTATTGCCAAGCTGTCGATTACAAAGCTCTGCACACCTCGAATCTTCCTGGTCCGATAAAAGAACAACTCCATAAGGATGGATACTTCCCATGGGTATACTTCTTGGAATTCAGTTCACCTTAGTGAAAGAGCCACATGCCTTGCGATAGACACTTTTTCAGGACGACCAAAATACCTTTGCTGTATATTACAGGGGGTATCCAAACATGTTGAATCGTGATGTGCAGTTCATGGCTGCTTGCGTAGCTGGATTAGAGGTAAGTGGAGGGGAACTGCGTATTATGTAGATTTGAATTCAACAACAATCGGACTCCCTTAATGCTATCTAACTGCAGTAGTTTACTATTAAGTAACTCAAGCCCACTGTTTCAGAATCGTCCATTCCATTACTGCGTTAATGCTACATGGATAAATGGAGTGAAAGGAGGTCACAGCATTACGGAAGACAGTTTTCGAAAGTTCTACGAGGATTGTCACATGTTTCCCCTACCTACTAAGATTGATAAGTCGGAAATAAGTGAGGATGATGAGTCCAAACTAGATTGGGACAACTGATTGTTGCGTTGAATAAATCGCTGCATTTGTGACTTTTGCTGTATTACTCCTAAATTAAATCATTCAAAAGTGCACAAACACGAGTTACAAGAGAAAAATTATTTTGGATATGAAAGAGGCTACCACTACTATTACTACTAACTGAATAACTAGTTATTGTGCTGAATAAATTAATGCAATCATGACCGCTTCAGCAGTACCAATCAGAACCACAATGCAAAAGTGTGCGGAGTATCAAACAAACAAAACGAAGGTCAAAAGCAGTAGAAGATTAATATATTAGTGTGGAGGAATCTTACCGTTGTACTGCCTATGCTACGTTCTCACAACCTGCGAATATTTAACAATTAAGTTACTACCCTTCCCTACGATTGCCGATGTTTGTTTCGACAAGGAACTCCCCACTTCTGACTATCAAGCTTCAACATGAGCCTATCTTTGTAGATAAATAAGTGTTTGTTGAGGTCCTTTCCCAACTCGTGACTGTTTCCTTCTGTGTCGGTGCTGTCTAAGAGTGTTTTAACCTAATAAATTACATTCAAATCAAAATAGGTCTGCGAATCTAGAGGTTTTGCTTACTCCGCCACACATCTGCATGTGTCTCTGTGAGTGTAATTTCACTTAAAACACAAATATGTCGGTGGAAATCATTGGCTTAAGCTTGTGAAGACTAATATTCGTGGCACCAAAGAAGAACAGCTTGACTCGGAAGTTTCAAACTGACCATATCTCTTAACAAAGAGTTTACTGCACGAAAAACTTACCATAAGGGATCGAGTCACAGAGACAAATTTTCCAAAGTAAGTTCCTAAGAAGTATCTCGAGTTTTAAAAAGGTTAATTGGAGTTCTCCTCTAGAGCTCGTAGCCGTCTACAGTAGACCACGCTTGCAATCGTAGGGTTGGGAGAAGAGGCTCCCAGTTATATATTCAGCGAACACCCCACCAAACCGAGGAACAGCATGATTTCCCAACTGGATACGTCTGATTTCACAGCCGGTTCAGCTCTTTCTGTCAGACCCAGCCATTGATGCCTTCGCCTACAAGTCACGTAAATGCACCACCTTTATTTTCCACTGATAACGTTAGGTTGGAGCGGAGAAAAGTTGTACGCAGATAATCTCAATCAACTACTTTATCATTCCTGTACAGACAATTTTGCCCACGTGCTGGGATGATTCTTATCCAGCTAACCTTTGTTTCTTTCTACGCCCCTATTCAGACACTTTCTGCCGCAATCGTGCCACACGTCTCCCTAGCCAGGTTGCACTGTGTTCATCGAGGCTCTGCTACATCCATTCGTTCTTTAACAAATATGTTCGTCCACATCCTATCAAACAACTTACTGATTTCAGTACGTAACGCCTGGAATTATCTTTTCATCAAACTTTTCCATCACGGGAAAATGATTCACTGTTTGAAGGTCTCAGATGGTGACTAAAAGTGGTAAAAAAGCCAGCGCTATGTACGCCATATTTCACTCAAAGACATGAGATACGATTGAAGGGAAGACAGACTTATAGACAGCACTACAAAAAGGCACATGTTCGAAAGACCTATCGCGAAATGCACCTTTATGAAGTCCCAATTCTTTGGTCTCATAAATAGCAAATATTAAAGGAACCAAAAAAGAAGAAGAAAGGTAAAGTAAGCAGAAGACGTACTTGAGCAACTTTGGAGACAATCTTGTCGTGAGTTGATGGAGAGCTATTTGAGGCCGTTAGTAAATGAATGCGTAGAAGAACAGCATAGTGTCTGAATGACTCATCCTGCGACCAAAACGGGAAGAAGTAGCTTCCTCACGAAGATCCCTGAAATGATTATTTAGAGAGCGAAATCAGCCTCTTTGCATTTCGCTGCTGAATCATTATTTTATGAAAAGCAGAAAAATCTTGTATAACTGAATATTTAACTAGGGATTGTCAATATGTTGCTCGGTTCCTGAGTAACTGTTACTGCTGAAAGAAGGTTTCCAGATGCATGGATTTACACTGCTGTCACCCATATCTTCAAGGAGTAGCAAGTTGCAATGGAGTGCTCAAGCTATCGTGGGATCACTACTGACAGTTGATTGGTTAAACTGCATGATTTCAGATTGAAAAAGCTTGGCCTCACACAACAACTTACAGCTCTTCAGCATAAAAATGTGCAAAATAACACTCGCTGATAGCTGAACTTCACAATTTTTAAATATGAAATCCTTTCAAAACTCACAGCAACGCACCCGGAGCAGCCCAGAATGTGAAGAATACGAGCATTTCAGTTGTCGTGAAGCCCACGACTTCATTACATCTGGGCTGCCACGGCACCGCGCACATACTATTCGACGCGCAGCACTGCCACCATCGATTGCGCCGTCGTCATCGATTGCCACGTGGCATGGGCGTGGCGCCGAGTGTGCACTCAACACCTTGCCACTCCATGCCATGTCAACGCGCCGAGCGGTCGGTTTTCTATTTCGTGTCTCGTATTCTCGCATTACCATCGTCATCGTGTAACCTCGACTCTGAAGGGATCGGAAGCACTCACAAGATCACTCTGCCAAGGAAGAGGAGATAAAAGAGGCTCCAGGGTGCGAGCAGGAGGATGGAAAGGATAGAGCTGCCAGCCGTCGCCGGACGGCTGAGGTCATCAGCAGCTCGGGAGTATTGGGAGCACCATGGAGCCTCGGGTTAGCGAAGGAACTCGGGGCCGCGGAGAGGAGCGGTCCGCGCATGACACACGTCTGCGGACACCGCGTCGCTCTCCTTCCCCGAGGGCAGAGAGTGCCGACGACCCCTAATGAGGTAGGAGCTTGACCCGTAGGCATAACTCGTATTCACTGCTGTATGAAGATAAACGTAATACTCTTTATGTTCGTGTTTTGTAGCAATAGCCGTGATAACGGGCCAATGCTTTTACACCGTGTTTTCTATCATTACTCGCATTGACAATAGTAGCAGTTTATTCATNACAAGTTTTAAGCCAGGGATGGAGCTGGAAATAATGAATGCCTACAATCTTGCAGTAACACTGGAGCTAGGTGGCTCGAGCGTCAAATTTCCTCGGTGCTAAGTGGGTTGGGGGGGACCACGCGGCGCGGCTGCGGCGCGGCGCCCTACGCTCTCCAAGCGCGAAACGGTGTTTAGAGACGTTTCATAGTTTTTTATGTTGTAACTGTGTATTTTTCACCTATTTTAGGAAGGGGAGGGGGGCTCCGGGGTGGGTGAGCCAATTGGACGTTCAACTTTTACCTCATCTCAGCTTCTTGCACGAGACAACCATCTCACCCACCCCCGGAGCCCCTCCCCCGCTTAAAAAATAGGTTTTGTCGGCTCAGAAGAAGTGTATCCATAATATCCAAGCATATTGTTTGTTCTGAATCACGAAACACATCAGCACAACCTTACCATTCCTTCCCAGACCCAGGCCCACTACTAGCTCGCTGGAGAGCGCAGGGTGCCGCGCCGCGTGGTCCCCCCAACCCACTTAGCACCATTTCCTCAGCATTTATTTATTTATTTATTTATCTTTGCACTCACTGGTGCGCTAAGCCAACACAAAGTGGGTTAGTACTGATATAATGATCGAAAACCAAACAGAAGAAAAAAAAAATAGCTAAGACAAAACCAAGAAATTCAGCTGTAGGCCTAACTCGAAATATTTCTCAGTCTATAGGCGTACGGCGCAGTGGGTACTGATAAAATATACTGAAAAAAAAACAGCGTAGCGAATACCAGCTAGCCATCGAATGAATGGATAAGTTGAGTAGAGGCGTAGGTGCTCATCCGCTTTGCTTATCATGTAATGCGAAGGTCACTACCAGTAAGTGCAGGTCAGTCTAAGCAACGCAACCAACCGCAGTTGTTCCCGGGCATTCTGGAGAAAGAGCCATTTTGTCTGTCTAAGTGGGATAGTTCAGTAGACTTACTGAACTCCTTACTAAAAAGAATGGAATTGTTACTTGCGCCCACGGTCTAATAGTAACCAAAGAAATATTAGAGAAAGGTTGTCATTTATTCCAACAGCTGCTTGGTCCTCTACTACTTACTGAACAGAAGGCGAAAGGAAGGCATTACTGTAGAGCATTTACTCTTCCCAGTCAGAAAGCCTGAGACCCTCTCATTTCCCATCTTCCTCGGTAGAACAACACTGACTTGCCTGAGGGTACGGAACCGATGACTCGAATACAACAATCTGTGCTATTTATTTTCTACTCTGAGTTCTTATACCAATAACATCTGAAGGGTGGGCGTAATTTGCTCCAAATTTCCACAGCAAGGGACAATGGTCCCGGGGCGAATACCGTATCCTTCCACAGGAAATCTAAACATCTCCCTTTATAGCGCGCAATCCGGTGCTTCGAACGCCGATCGCGCACTGTGAAAAGAAGTGTTTGAAGTTGAAGACTTGGAGAGAAGTACCTACACCCGGTCCCCAATGGATTTACTGTGGGCCGTGATGCATAATTTGCAAGAATTCAGATAAGCAAATGAAAGCTCGCGATGCAACAGAGATTGGTCTCGCCAAATGATTGATTCTCTGAAATTCGTAGTAGCTATGATGTTCCTTCTCGCACCCACTTGGATAGGGCTCATGAAAATTCAATTTGATCCCAATAGTTGTAATTTTGTTCCCCCTGAATCTTTTCCCAAGGTCATCTTGAAACGTTTGCAGGTAGATGCAGACATTGCACCAAGTCAGCCAGACTGTTCCTGTCGGCGCAACGAAGTATGAATGCTTCATTATACTTGAAGTTCTGACTCCTAGCTCAACGTACCTTATATAATATCAACAAAAACTCATCTGGAGTGAAGGCAAAGTAAGTGAACAACCTATTTTCGATTTGAATGCACCGTATAGAGGTAGAACACGGTCAGGTCTAGGCGGCACGACTCCAGAATGAATCTATCAGAAGACATATTTGAATAATTCAGATCAAGGCGCATGAATTTGAAGGGGACGTTCTGGATATTCCGTTCTTCCATCGTTTTTGTTCGTCATTATCTTCATTTGCAACTTTGTAAACTTTCGAATGTCTTCATTTAATGACATTGGCTGAACGCTCGACATGACAGCGATTTATTCACTACAATGCGGTCGAAATGTTTTTCTGAACTTTGAACTCGGGATCGTTGCTACATTCCTTGTAAAACTCAAGAAATCTTTTTCCGTAATTCGTGTGCCGCTGAACTCATTATCCACTCATGTCACATTGAGGCAGTAGGGAACATCTGTCACCTAAAATAAGGGCTTGAGCCAGTTGACGGCGTGCGGCCCCCTCAAACAGAGACATTTTGAGGACCTACTAATTGGGCGCCAACATAACATCACACATAATTCTATGCAACATACCCTAGTTCCATCGACGCAGAGAACAGTGTACTGAAACTCAGAATTGTATAGGTCTGGAACTCCAACGTAGTATGCAGCAAGCCCGTCACTCTGAAAAAATAATCATCTGTGGTGTTCACCCTCTCGAATAAATGGAACGGGTCTTGTGACAGAGACATACCAAATTTCTGCCGATGATTTCTCCGAGAGCCTCTTTCACTGGTTCAGTAAGAATATTACTGAGTAAGATTGACATTAATGCGCAGAGCCTGGCAACCCTCTGACAGGGGCTGCACCATCGGAAGTAAAATGGTCATGATGATAAACATCATAGTTGAGGGTTGGTTTTCTGCTGGGAGTTGAAGTCAATGAAGACAATCGAATACGAGCAGTGGTGAACACGAACGTGTTCCTCCTTTTATACCAATCGTCACAAATATTTCGCCAACGTTTGGGGTGTCCTACTGTACTAGCTTGCATGGAGTTGCCAGTTGTTAAATTGGTCTACTATTTACAAAAAATGCACTTTTGACTTCAATATGTACAAGAGGGTCCTGCTTCCGTCGGATGAAGATTGTAGATGGCTCCCACTGGTTAGGTCGACAAAGGAAAAGAGAATTACAGAATGCGAATATCTGCAATACCGTAGGAGCCCAAACTATTCTTGCTATCTATATCCAAGCGAAGTGAACAGCAACAGCAAATGAGATGATGAGCCTACACTGTCTGAACCCATTTGTAACGACTGCAATTGTCATGATATCAAATCAGCAGTGAATTAATTGAACAGTGGAGATATGCAAGGTTCAGAGATTTCTCTCGATCCGTATTACCCATATCACATGTTGTCCCGCTAAGCTTCAAAGCTGTGGGGTCTGAGTCCACGGTTCCTTCTACTTGGAATTACTTTCAAAGTCCAAATTGTAGCCCTGAAGAGCTTTGCGGTTTCCTGCAAGTGAGCCAGTCTTTACAGTACCATGAGTCGTGCATGCCGCAATTCAGAACTTTTCGAGAACATTGACCTTTGTATAAGCATGGGAAGATTCAGCAGACCAGCTACATAATAGTGACAACAATAAACCTAATAAATCAACTTCACGACCGATACCTCCTTGCTCTCCATATAAGGAAGATGTCAACTTATGATTAAGCTTCACTAATGAAATTATTTTTGACTAGTTCCCTCTTTACGAAGTTTTTGAATGTGCATAAGAAGGTTTTGGTCTTTTTGAAGCTTTCCAAATATCGCCACTACAGTGTTCACCTGGGAAATTAGAACATCAGTATCAGATTAATCATTGGTCGCTTCTGATGCTTGACTGTAGCCTTGGTGCATAGCAAACGAAGGATTTGAGCTCATTCATGTCTGTACTATATCCATCAAGAGACAATAATGTGAGCACAATACACTAGCATTGAATCACTTTCATCCTCAGCTGCAGATTAGTATGCAATCCTTCTCCACTACAAAAAGTCATGTATTTGACTGAGAACAGCTAATTACACAAGAGTGTTCAAATGTTCTTATGGAAACCATCTGTGAACTGTTTCGGAGTTTTTTTCGATCATGAATAGAACCAATGTTCACTAAGTTATTAGTTACTAGCCACCAAAAGCGCCACAAAATGGAGTCTGAACAAAATTGGGACAAAAAAGACAATGCAAGTCTCTAACAGTGTAGAAGTGATCCTCGTGCAATCCAATCAACGATCCTCGTTGGCTGAGGAGCTTACTCCTTCAGCACATGTACCCACCAACAATAGTTCTACCTCACGCTTGATTGACCCATGCTCTTGAAGGGATGAGATTTTCTGGCACGGCAGGGTCAGTTAGGAGGAACCGGTTGACGGAGCTTCTCCTCCATTCCCCACGGCCAGCGGCAGCGGTTCCGGGGCGACTGCCGCATCGTTCCCACTCTGAATTTAAGTCTTTCCCTTCATAGCGCGCGATCGAGTGCGGCCAGCGCGACACGCCGTTCGGAGAAAAGGAACCAGACCAAAGCTAGCCAAGTTTCAGACCAAAGTTTCAGCAAAGCGAAACATCTCTGCATATCTTCATCCAATGCATAGTTCTCAACTGACTTTATATAGTCACAAGTGCCTCCATTACAAGTGGGTACAGTTCAAATGGGCATACCCCATTATGTACTGTTTACTATTAGTGGAGATTACATGGTTACGACATATTCGGTCTTGCGCACTACCAAAATGCAGATTTTGCTATCGATAATACATGCGTAACCAGAGATGATTCATTCCGCTCCTCACAGCAAATCCAAAGTGCATATTCTTTCCTGACAGAGTACCAATTCAGCGAACGGAAGCCACACAAAAGTTGGTACAATAGTAGAAAACCCCAGACGTTTGCAAAATATATGATGTCTGATATGAGGTGAAACATGTTAGGATTCTATACGCTCGTATTCGATTGCCTTATTTCCCAGTTTGAGCAGCCCTCGACGATGATGCTGATCATCTTAACAGTTTTTCTCCCAGTGGTGCGGCTTGAGACAGAAGAGAGACTAGAAAACTGTCAAGCTCTTAAAGAAACAACCGTGCCCCTCAAGAATCTTTCTGACTCACTGAAAGAAGAACTCGAAAAGGACTCAGCCCCCAAAAGTTGGTGAGTCTCCCGAAATTCCACATTCATTTATTGCAAGGTGAACCGACAGCAAAAAAAAAAACTTTTTTCAGAGCGATATTGACGGTATTGCTACATACTATATTGGATCTCCGGACACATCCAATAAGCTGCTGTTCACAGCTGTATGCATCTCCGCAAAAGAGGTATACTACTTGTAATATGAATTTGTCGAGCAATGATAGGCACTCTTATTTTTTGCAGGAGTGTGCATACAATCAGAATCGTTTCATTTCAGCTTAAGGAATCTCCCTATTGCTATAACACGACGTCGACAAATGGAATCTTCAGCGGTTCAAAAATTTCGGAGGAACGGTTCAAAAGCTTCTATGGGAACTGTAGCAACGATCTAGAAATCGAGCTTGAACAGATGACTTCTGAAACAGAAATTCTGAGTGAATAGTTATCTGTTGTGCTGAATAAATCATTGCAATCATGAGCATTTGAGCGTTCCGGCAGAGCCAACACGAGCGAACATACAAAGGTGGCTCTCGCCAACTAAGAGTATCTAGATGTTAAGGATGAGGGGAATGAAATTTCTGGTTAATCGAGTCCGTGTGAGGGATGCGCCCACACATTCGACTTCCATTCAGGATCGTAGCGGCGTAGTGAATGCGTTTGGGTCTATACAATGACTACTGGTGGGAAGCCGATGTACAAGTCAATGCTTTTATCCTCTCAGTGTAGTAGCAATTAACGAACTACCGTAATGAGTTCATTAAGAGGAGCGAGTATGATGATAAGTTCGGTGACCCAATAGCGGCAAGAAGACAAAAAATCAGAAGAAAACAGGCAAGGTCAGGCTCTAAGGATCAGGTTTGCGCCTGACTTGAGCTATGCATTTAGCGAGTGAATCAGTGTCGGTGTGTAGGGAGCGAGAGGCTTAATCAACTAAATTACTCAGTCCTGCACAGACCATTACGCCCAGGTATGGGGAGAACTATTCCAGCTAACTTTTGCTTCATTCCACGCCCCTATTCAGACATTTTCTGCCGCCAGTCGTGCAACATGTCTCCTTAGCCAGGTGACAATGTGTTTGAGTGGATCCATTTTATCTATTCATTTTTTAACAAAAATGTCCGTCCACATCCTATCAAACAACCCCACTGATTTTAGGGCCTAACGCCTGGAATTAGGTTTCGTCGAACTTTTCACTCACAGAAAAAAGATTCACTGCTCAAGAGTCTCATATGGAGACTATAAAAGCTAAAACACAGCGCTATGTTCACCATATTCCACTTGAAGACTAGTGTGATATGATTGAAATGAAAGACAGACTTATAGATAGCACTACGAAAAGGTATATGTTAAAAGCTGTGAGATACAACTTTTTGCAATCTTGATTCTTTGTTCTCATAAGAAGGGAAATTGAAAAAAAAACTGAAAGGAACTAAAAAAATTATAAAAAGTTAATGTAAAAAACGTACTTAAACAACACTAGAGATAATATTGCCATGGTAAGTTGATGGAGAGCAATTTGAAGTTGTTCATAAAAAATGCACACCAGGACAGCATAGTAATCTGACTTGTTCTCCGATCGAAATAAGAAAGAGTAACTGCTTCACTATGGTCCCTGAAATAGTTATTTCGAGAGCAAAATCAGCCTCTTTGCATTTTGCTGCTGAGTTCCTACCTCATGAGAAGCAAGAAGTTCTTGTATAGCTGAATAATTTATCTAGGGATTGTCAATATGTTTCTTGGTTCCTGAGCACTGTGACTGCTGAAGAAAGATCCCATATGGATGTAAGTGCAGTGCTGTAACTCTCATCTTCGATGAGAAGGACGGGGCTTTGGAGTGCTCAAGCTATCGTGGAATCATTATTGACTATTAATTGATGGAACTGCACGACTTCAGATTGAAAAAACGTCTTTCCACACAGAACAACTTACAACTCTTCAGCTTAAAACTGTACAATAAAACTCGCGGATGACTTCTAGTGCATGACTACAGCTTTAATTCAAAGCAAAGGAAAGATTCAAAACCCATACATGTCTGTACTATATCCTCATGAGTCAATAATGTGTGCGCTTGTATTAAACCAACGTTCATCCTCAGCTACAAGTTAGCCTGCACTTTTCCTTCACTATCAAATAAAAGTCATATATTTCACTGACAACAGCTAATCACACAAGAAGTTCGGATGTTCCCAATGGAAAGATCTACTGCCTCTTCCGGAAATTCTCCGATCATGAATAGATCCAGTATTCAGCGCAGTTATTAGTTACTAGCTACTAAAAGAATTCACGGAATAAGAGGAACTTGAACGAACCGAGACGAAAAAGGCAACGGCAAGTTTCAGACAGTGAAGAAGTGTCCTTACAATACAATCAACGAGGTGTTGGATAAAGAGTTTGGAGCACGTACCTGGCAATACCAGTTCTACCTCACTCATGGAAGTCCCATGTTCTTGGATGGAATGAGGTTTGCTGGCACTGTAGGATCAGGAGAGGAAACCTTTGAGCCGACTTGAATCACAAAGGGACAGCGGATAGTATATGTAGTTAACACGGTTTTGAGTAAAGCCTCCCATTTCTGCATACTTTCACCCCATGCATATTTCTCAACTGTCTTGATATGATCACACCTCTGCCACAGCTCAGATTTTGCGGGATGCTCCTTTCTAAGCTCTTCTTTCCCCTGCCGAGATAAATCAATCATATCGTTAGAGCGTTCGATAATATGCTTGACAAAAAGGTTCCATCCCATCCCTCACAGCGAAGTCAAAAGTGCATATTTTTCCTTGACAGAGTACCAATTTAGCAACTGGAAGGAACATAAAAGCTGTTACAATAGTAGGACAACCTAGACGTCTGAGAATATTTCATTATGATTGGTATAAAAGACGGAGCATATGCGGGTTCTCCATGGTATTCGATTGCATCAATTTTCCAGCTCTACGAAGCAACTCTAAAAGATGATGCTGATCGTCCTTGCTATTTTACTCCCAGCGGTGCAGCCCATAACAGACGAATGCCAGGCTGTCGACTTCGTAACCGGTAAACCCGACAACCTCACCGATCCAGTAAAAATGGAACTCAGGAAGCATTTCAGCTCCAAGAACGTGGTATGTGTCACGAAAAGCACTTTCGTTCCGGTCCTACGGCGTAATTCTTTTCAGAGCAATATTGACGGTATTGTTACATCCTATGTTGGATATCCAGAATGTCTCATACCGAATTCCAGTTTACTGCGCTCTGCCTCTCTACAACAGCGGTATGTAGTGTGAAATTGGGGTTGATAGGAAGTCGTACCCCAATTGAACGACTCGTATAAAACTTTTTGGTAATACTTGAATGCGAATGAATACTTTAAGCTAACTGTTTTAGCTCGAAGAACGCCCGTACTGCCTTAATGTGACAATGAAGGATAAAGAACTCAGCAGTGAGAAAATCTCAGTGGAACAGTTTCTGAGTTTTTATGGAAACTGTAGCAACGATCCCAAACCCGAACTTCCATCTACTACTACTATCGCTACAACGATTGAAACAGATGAGAATAATTAGTTGTTGTACTGAATAAAGTTGCAATCATGAACTTTTCAGCAGTACCAAAGCAGATAAGCTGACTTAGACACATAGGGGTTGGAAATATGGGCAAGCATAGAAGCGCTAATACTTCGTTGCACCGGATTGAAACAGTCTGGAAATTTTTACACTCCCTTTCTGCAAACAAAAGCTAAACAGGAAATTCATAACCTAGAGGCGAGCCACATTGTTGGCATTTACAAAATGACTGAATAGAGCAATTCTCGAGGAATCCTTCATGAAAGCTCCTTTTACAGATGAAAACGCATGACGTTCTCAAGACATCGTACTTCTACTACGAGGTTAGACGGTCAGCAGGTGGATATTCCTCCTCGACATAGCTACTGCATACGAAAGTTCATTGGGATGGCTTTACAGGACTCGCCTGTTTTGCGAGAGCATCGTTCTGGGAGGATACGCTTTTGCCATAGCATCGAGGCAATTCAACTTGGGAATATGATAAATTTGCAAAAGTAACTCACTAAACAAACATGAACATCATTGAATGGCTGACCTTGGGAAGTCATTGTGAAGACGATTAATGCAATCAAACGATGTGCAAAGCTGGGCGCAAGCCATTGACATGGCGCATCCAAAATGAATTCGATCTGTACAGTTGCCGCATTTTGTTTACTTCTTCCTCCTCCTAAAATAATGTCCAGGCTTATCAGTGAAAAGTAATTCCCTACAAGTTTAGAACGTACTCACTGTAATAGCCATTTACGTCGTTATCAGCGATATCGGCAAAAGATCAAGTGATGATAAGAGTAGTCGTTCCGGAATGTTTCCCGTTTCAACTGCTTTTCTTCTTCCATTAATAGGTCTGAAGGTCTGTTTATGCATCTGATACTGTGTTCTAACCCGATCTTGCAGCAACCGCCAGCTGCTTGGCCACATTCTCCAACAAAGACATCGCGAAGTATAGCCGCCTTTTACTCAATGATTGCGCTTTTTGTCACATTGAAAACATATCGAAAAGCAGAAAAAGTATTCCGAATGAGGTTAGCTTATGAAAAAAATGATTTTTTATTAGGTATGTAGTTGGTTTATACTTTTTCAGTTAGCAATACCATAACTTTTATACTTCAGATTACTTAATTATTAATTTTCATTACCTTTTTTCCTTTGAACTGTGCCCGACTGATCAGCCAAACTTCCCAGTGCATTCCAGCTTTGTGCTATAAAGGCTCTTGCACAGTTCTCGTCTGAAATAGATGTGTTTTGATCGATATCAATCGATATCGACCACTTACAATATGCCCATAATAATTTTCTTGCTCCAGGTACCCATTCATGACTGTAGTCAACTATGCAGATCGATAATATCGAAATGGGACGGTTGTAAAGAGTTTCTAGCATTCAATGAGCAAATGGTAAGGTTAGGTTGATAAGTATCGATCAATCTGATCAATAGTATCAGCAGCTATCGATCAATAGGAACCTTAACTTGCCAATTTAGACATCCGGTTGGCGGTCAATGCCGGATGACGTTGAGAGTGTATGCAGTACTAGCTCAGATGTTGAAGCTTGCCGTCACAAGTACACAGCGGATACTCTCATGGTATTGATCGAGCTGAATGAGATCGATTGATCAGTATATTTTACACTTTATTCATTCGAGTAATTTACTCTTCAAGGCGATCACCACTTTGAAAGACCTCATGCTTCGATTTGCATCGATGATTGACCCACGAGCCAGTTGCGGTCTAGGTAAGTGAGTATTGACTGCTCTCTATGGTCTGTGTATGTGCTGCGCAACCGCTCTCGTCCATTCCCATCCCTTGGTAGCAATTCTATCGATAGAAATTAGAGCACTGTTGAGCTATTTTGAGCCTCCCCTCCCCCTCCCCCACTTCTTTTTTGTTCCCATACTTTAACAGCCCGTTTTCCTATTTTTCGAAAAGTTTTCTTTCATTTCAGAAAAGTCCAAGGAAAAGCTTGTGTATACGGAATCGAAGGACTACACCAACACCCAATTCCTCAACTGCCAACTGTGCTATTCCTTTCTTCAATTCCTCAACACTGTTGTTGCTGGTGATCAAACGCGGACATCACAGCAGATTCTAGCCGGTCAGTTTACCTAGACCAAAGCCCGTGTCCATCGAACGGTATCAAAGGGGTCGCAGAGCTCCACAAATGAGCTTGCCATAGTTACTTGCCTTTTTAGCCCTTCACTATTTTCTTTTGGAAAAAAATCTACTAGTATTTTAATAGACATCGGTGTGGCTGCAAAGAACGTCTGTGTGATCATAGACTTACCAGCGCTTCTGCATCTTCTAGTACCAGCACTTGGAAATCTCAGTGTGAGTTCGTTTAGACTAGAAATCATGCCCATTAGTCGTTGGGGTGGGTTTTTGCGGGTGGAAGTGATTCTCGTTAGCTCCCAACTACGCATCTGTAATAGCCGGAATTCATCAAAAGCTTGATCCTGTAGAACTGCTGTGATCGTTTTCTTGGATACTATTTGATCCTCCAAGATCGCTGAATCCGTTTTCAGTGTGATGGTATGCCACAAGTCATCGTAGCGGTGTTCCAGTACATTCTTTCACCGATGTTTGGAGCACAAGCCCAGCAAACATGCGCGGTAAGAAGTACTACAACTGTATAAATATTCATGGTTAAACACACTCTCTNGCTTTCTCAACACCTCTCATCGCAAGCAGCCAAACTTCCCAGTGCATTCCAGCTTTGTGCTATAAAGGCCCTTGCACAGTTCTCGTCTGAAATAGATGTGTTTTGATCNGGTGGAAGTGATTCTCGTTAGCTCCCAACTACGCATCTGTAATAGCCGGAATTCATCAAAAGCTTGATCCTGTAGAACTGCTGTGATCGTTTTCTTGGATACTATTTGATCCTCCAAGATCGCTGAATCCGTTTTCAGTGTGATGGTATGCCACAAGTCATCGTAGCGGTGTTCCAGTACATTCTTTCACCGATGTTTGGAGCACAAGCCCAGCAAACATGCGCGGTAAGAAGTACTACAACTGTATAAATATTCATGGTTAAACACACTCTCTCTAAGGTTGGGCGGAGCTTCTTATAGTGGACCTGCCCAGTGGGGCATTTGCTATCGTAGTGGAAATGGGATTTTTCAAGTGCACAGTTCACAATAGAAATTATTTTCGCGCTTTCAAATAGGACAAACTTGTGGCCACCACGTATACCTATGGAAAGCTGTCAGGACGGGGAGTGGCCTTAATTGGGTGTATGAAGGGCTCGAAGACTTTGTTGGCCGGCGTCCACACACAAATGCGGACGAGTTTCAACAGCGTGGTGAAGGCTGCCCTCGCAAGAACAGCCATATTCGCTATTCAAACAACTAGTCCCGACCTACGGCGATAGTGGAGGGTTTTAACTAATAGTTACACAGAAATT